ATTAATAATAAATAAATAAAAACTAAATATATATTTGTCATAGGTTAATTAAAGTCAGAATAATAATAAGACAATTGTGAAGGATAGATTGCTTGATTGATTATCTAGCGATCGCTAGCTACGCGGAAGTTATATATGATGCGGATTATATAAGAAGGCAGATAGGCCTGACACCCCTACTCACTGATGTAATTATACTTGAGATTATATATAAAAAGTAGCTTATAGCTAGGTATTAGTATATAATTTGACTGGAAAACCCATATTGTTGAAAAATCAGTCATTTTCTCCATATAATCATTTCCACCTGCTTACTGCATCTTCTAATATCTGCTGCCATAGAGTGTATCTAGTCACCTCAAGTAGCTTGGTCAGCCTGTCTGCTGTGTTCTCAGTAGATGAGATGTAATCAATTAAGATCTCATTCTTGTGGACAAGATCCCAAAGAGTATGGAAGCAAATCTTTATATGCTTAGATCAGTGTGAAATAGCCTCACTTTTGATCAGTTCAATCACTGATTTATTATCCATCTGAATTGTATATGCCAGCCTATTGACTAGTGATTTGATTGAGCTGTCATTATCATCAAGATTATTGAGCTGGAATGGCATAAAGCCAGCATCCTCCAGCAATTCCTAGAGGCAGACAAGCTCATAGATGGCCTCTGAGGATGTAATATATTTGGCCTCAGTAGATGATTTTAAAACACCTGTCTGCTTGCTGCTTTGTCAAGCAACAGGACCCTCTGTTATATAAATGACATATTCAGTGATGGAGTGAAAACCTGAATCATGGTCCACTCAATCAGCATCAGTGAACACCACAGGTTCTATATCCATATCTTTTTGATAGGACACAACTATGTCAGATGTGCCTTGTAGATATCTAAAAATTCATTTGAATATCACTCAATTCTTCAAAGTAGAGCAGGAGCTGAATCTCTCTAGAAAGCCAGCAGTGAAGCTTATATCAGAGTATGTGTTGGCAGTGAGATATTGCAGAGAGTCAATCCTTAATTGATAAAAATGTAATGTAAATTCTGCTGTATAAGCAATTAATTTTTCATTATCACTCATGAAATCAACATTCTCCTTCATAGAAGAGGATATTATGTGGCAGTCATTTATTGAGAATTTCTCAAGCAGGTTCTTTATGAACAGTAATTGGAACAGTGATAAAGATTTGATATTCTGATTAATCTTCATTCTCAAATACCAGTTCAATTCACTCACATTCTTGATCTCATAATTAGCAGTGATCTGGGCTTTTGTCTATTCAATATCTGATATATTCAGACTGTATAGGTGAACATCATCTATGTAGATGATTATATAGACTTTGCAGATATCATTTATGAAAAAACTAGCATCATGAGAACTGATGTGAAAGCCTATTTTCAATAGCATTTTTTACAGCTTCTCATATCATAATAGTACTGCTTGCTTCAGGTCATATAGTCTCTGCATCAATTTGCATACCAGATCACTATATCCCTCACAGAACCTGGTGAGTTAATGCATATATATATGTTCATTGATGAGAAGCTGAGATTTAAGAATGCTGTAACCATGTTGATCTGCAGAATGTATTATTCTCAGAATACTGAGATTGTCATAAGTGCTCAGGAGGTAGAGGCTGATACAACTGATGTGAATGTCTTTAAATAGTTGACATTCTTTTCTTGATAATTGCCACAGACTACTCAGCAAGTCTTATATTATTTAATTCTACCTATATTATTAATCTTTTTGTCAAACACTCATTGATCATGTAGAATCATTATATCTGAGGTTCTTTCAACTAGCTGCCATGCACTAATCTACTTGAGGCAGTTAATCTTCTTAATACAGACATAGAAGTAATATTTCTAATCTGCAGATATTTGAGCCTGGGTGAGATTCTTTGAAACTGGCAAGCCAGTAATCTCAGAGTCTGCAAAGACATCAGTCAAATTGTCAATGAAATCTCTCACTGAGGCCTCTCTCATTGAAGTAATATTCTCAGTAAGCATTGAAGAATTCTTTATCTCAAAAGCAGACCCTGAGAGAGCAGTAGTGTTCTGCATCAAAAATATTAAAATTCATACAGTAATCTCATAGTCTATCTATTAATTATTTGTAGAGTGTAGAAATACTGAAGGAGCAGATAGAAACTTTTTATTCATCATGAAATTGTCTGTTGATAAATCACATTGAGTGGAGGAGATTACAACTATGGTCACATAGATAGTGAAAGACAAGTTCTTGACACCTTGCTCAGATGAGGCCAGAGGATTTATCCAATGAAGATCTTCTTAAAATATTATATTTTTCAACATGTAAAGGCAATCATTAAAAGAATTGATCAATCTATAATTAGTAAAGTTATTATAGTTTGTAAATATAAGCTTCTGTGATTGTGAGGTCATCTTCATATTCAGCTTGAGCACTATTTTTAAATAAGCCTTGCATTCCCATTGGTGAATTCTGTGTGTGGAGGGCAGGGCCCTAAGCCAAGCTTCATATGAGGTAATCAGCTTTAGATCTGGATCCTCTACACTGTTATAGAGCTTGACTGACATTGACATAAAATTAAGTATTTCAGTCACTGCAATTATCACCTCACCTCATATCTGAGAGGAGGAGGAGAAATCTATTAATAACATTCAGGCTTTTTCAATAATCAGGTCAATAGAACATTCAGACACACCATCTTACTGTGAAGTATGAGGTGAGATTGATTTTCATTTATTACTCTCACTCATCATATAGACAGCTGTAGTATTTGAATTCAACTCATCACAGTTAGAGTGAATAATCACAACATCACAATTGAGCAGATTTTTCATAAATTGATTGAAGGTCTGTATATGTTTTAGAGTTTCATTGCAGTACTTCAATAGAAAAGTTCACTACATTCATATAACATTGTCAGTGATCATCATCATGAGCTTCTTATCTGCATAAAATAATGTATTTTCTTCATTATCAAGTGTTTCTCCACCTTTAAATAGGTCCACCTAGATTTTAAGATTTTTGTGAGTAGCATGATATAGCAGAGCATTTTTATAACTTGCATGTTTATGCTTGACTTTAACACATGTGGTGCAGAATGAGAGCTTCTTTGAGCTAATAATGACAATTCTGAAACAGAGCTTCTGCAACATTTTAATTAGATTCTTCTCATCAATATAGCTCAATTGCTGATACCACTCATCAATTAGTAGCTGCTTCAGCATAATAGCAGGTAGTCAAGTTAGTGAGGATAAAATGAAGGTATCAGTATTCAGATCCTTCAGATTAATTAGCTACTCTACATTATTATAATTGAAAAGACTCAGTGATGCAGTGTTCAGATCATAATCTGTTGATATCACCCTGGGCTTTGAGACTATCAAGTATGTCAGTGGTCCAAGCTTTAGATCCTTTATAATACCTCTGAACATATAGAGAGTGTCAGATAGAATATATATATTATTGAAATTCAAATTTGCATATAAGATATCATTTTCTGTAGGTACTATTATCTCAAAGTAATTTCCAGCATTCACCTATAGATCATAGTGAATATAGCTCTAGTGCTTCAATAGACCAGCAGATATGAGATTAGTGAATAAGTCTGGTATCAAATAGATGTAGTCAAATTCAATTAATTTTTTCCTAACTGAGATAGAGGCGACCTCAATTCCTTGAATCTTTAAAGTAGCTTTATTGACCACTTGAATCATAAAGCCACTAATCTCTGTTATTCAGAAAAATCATGATTGATCACCTGCAATATGACATTCAGCCTTGCTATCTCATATGATGAGTGAGTTGATGATTGATTCAGCAGAGTACACAGGTACCCTAATAACCTGCACTAGATTCATCATTTGGAATGTCTCAGAGCTGCTATTTGCAGTTGATGAGGTCTTTTTGCCCTCACTACTCTTCTTATTATTATATTTCTTTATTCTCACTGCATTGGTGGTCCTTCATTCTTTAGAGGTACTATCTGAATTGACTGTCCAGCAGAGGCCACTATGATAATGCTCATATTCCAGGCAGATTGAGAGGTCAGAATTTGAATGTCTGCCCATTTGATAATCTTCATGTCCTCTGGGTCAGCCTCTATAGGTCAAATTATTTTGAATATTGCTGCTATTATTAGAACTCACGGCTGTGTTTTCAGTCTGAGCCATGTTGGCTAAAGAATTAGCCACCTGGACAGCCTTCTTAACCTCTTTGAGAGGGTTCAATCAAGAGTGTATTTCCTCTATGATTGAATGAACATCTAACATGACAGACTTTGATTTGAACTATTATATCTTCTTGATTTTCTTTTACATGTAGTTTCATCATATATTGAGAAGTGCAGAATAGAACATATGGAATATCATGTCATTTGGCAGTAAAATATCAAGTATTTCCAATTTCATAATAATGTCATTGAACTTATTGAAAAATATGTATATATCAGTGACTTGGACACCACTCATTGATGTAAACACCAGGACTGCTTTCATGCAGAGCTGTGTTCTCAGGATGAAGAACTCTTTCTCAACTGTGTGTTAAAGGGAATAAGTAATCCTGCTCTCATCATACTTATTAAAACAGGGCTTAATGCTGGCTGCCATTATGTTTAAAATGAATGTGTAAAGTCAGTGATTTTTGATCTCTCAAAAAGAAGTCTATTCAGGGTCTTCACCAGGACTTTTGACTTGCTTGTCCTCCAATATAACCTAGCATTGAGCATCAATTAACTTGGCCTTTATATTCATATGCCAGGAGAGGTAATTCAAAGATCTGACTAGAGCATTCAGCTTGATGGCATATTTAGTATTCTGTTTAAACTGGCTGATTATCTTGCTGACACAGCTATCCAGATTATAGAGATTATATTGCATTTAGGACCTCAAGTTTAGATCTCATGCTGATGATTGACTCACTGGCTAATTTGCAGGCATTGTAGCCCTGTCATTCTAAATGTGAAGCCCCTTTAATTGAAGTTGAAGCTGCAATTCTTTACACCTCTTTTTTTAAAGTTCTAAATCAATTTTTTGATATTCAAGATCCAATCTCCTCAGTTGTAATTCTTCAGAGTCAGTTGCTGGCAGTGAGTTAGAGATCACTGCAGATATCTCTACCTCATCTTCTGAAGGAGTTAGATCAGTATATTTAATATGATGTAGGTAGACTAGCCTCACTGTAGTAGGGGTTGTAATCAGCTCAGCTTGCTGATCAGGCGTTTCAGGAGGTCCAATCTTAGAACTTTTGAACACTTCTGGGGGGGTTGGTGAGCTCATGGCCCTTTAGTCATTTTTAGATTAGTCAGATTGACTGGATTGACTTGATCATAATCATAAGTGAATCATTATACATTCTGTCATATCATATTAATCTTCTTTATAATAGAGTAATCTTATTCAGTGAGATTCTTACCTATAAGCTTGATTAAGTAGATTGACATGTTCTTGTGTGATCAGTCACTGAAAAATTAATGAGTTGCAGATTTTTCTTTCACCCACTAAGTGAATAGATTGAATACAGAAAAAAAAAATAATAATATAAGAGTGTATCAAATCAATCAATTGATATAAAATAAGATAATATTATATTGAATGAAGCAAGCAGTGATTAATATATACTATATTTGACAAGAATTCTCTGAATTAATAATTATTTACACAAAATAGATCTCATAACCTATGAAGGATAGATTGCTTGATTGATTATATAGTGATTACTAGCTATACGGAAGTTATATACAGTGTGAATTATATAAGAAGGCGGATAGGCCTGACAACAATAGCTTTAATTCATCTATCTAATTAAACAGTTGTGATAAGAATATTAAACTAAGAATTAAAATAAAAAATAAATAAGCAGCTGAATATATAGAAGTAGTTGAAGATCAGATCAGATTAATTTTCAGAGCAGATATGATTGAGATCAGAATGAATTAATTTTTAGAGTATAGCAGAGCAGATCAATCTTAATTCATATACAAGTAACTGCACTATAATATTATTCCTCAATTTAAAAGAGTACTTGTCTTCAAGCAGCTACATTAAAAGTAAAAAAGAGCAAAATGAAAATTTATCAAGCTTATCAGTAAACTAATTGCTTTGATCATCATTTATTAGATTTCTATAAATTTTCTTTTATACCTTATTAACATTAGAGTTGTTATTGAATTCTTGCTTAGAGGCTAGGATTCTTTTAATAGTTTAATAATAATTGAGCTTAAAAGAATGCAAATAAAAGTAATAGTCTTCAACTTAAAGATCATTAGATTTACAGTATATACAACAGTTTTCTTGATAGAATTTTTTCTTATTGAGAAGATGATATTGATAGAGCATGTAATGGAAAATCATCTGAAAGATCAAGAACATTAACTTGAATCTGATTGAGATCTATAAAATCATGATGTTCATAGTGATTAGGGTAATCAGAGTAATTAAAGTAAGTCAGACTATTAAAGTAAGCTGAGCTGTTAGTAATTTGAGTAAGTTAGGTGCTCAGTTAAATTAACTAAGAAGTGTGTAGCAAGAATGAATAGAAGGAATTAGAAGCTAATTACAAAACAACATACAGAAATTTCTTGTAGATCTGAAGAAGGTTTAGCTGCTGAGTTAAACAATTTTAAATTAATATATTGAGGCCTTAGTAGAATTGAGATATCTTTGAAAAATTTAGTCAATACTAAACTCTGACTTTATAGAAAATATGTTCAAACTTAGCAATATAAACTGTTAAAAATTCAATTGAGGTTTAATAGAGAGGGCTTTGAACAGGCTAGAATTGGAATCAAGATTGAGAGCTGTTGATTTTGATAAAGCTTTTTGATAGTACTCTTAAATTCCTGATGAAAGACAGCAAGAGAAGCTTCTAAAATAAAGGTAAGAAAAATAAAATTTAACAAAGGTTTTGAGCACTCAGTGAAGCTCAATCAGATATAAATATAGATATAAATATAGACATAAATATAGATATAGATATAGATATAGTATGATACCAAGGCTCTGTATACTAGCTCCTTGTTCTCATACTGCTTATCATACTTATTTACTAAAGTACTTATCTTCATACTGCTTATCAAAGTACTTTAGGATCAGCATATATCAGAAGATCAGCATCATCTCAAAATTCAGCATTCAGAATCAGCACAGAACAGCACTTCTCAAAAATCAATTCTTTAACATCAGCATTTCCTGGAGGATAGAATCAATACTTTATGAAGATTCAGATTACTGTATTGCTAATTTCCCATTTTATGAAAGATGAGAGATAAAACTTATTACTACTCATTCATGTATATAAACACTCTGAATCTCCAAAGTTCCTTTAATGGATTTAGTGGTTAGCTACTATTCAATTCTATACATATATTTCATCTATTGCTATCCTCTTCCCTTTATAGTACTCGCAGTGTCTATACATCTACCCTCTTACAATTTTAATTATAGAGCTTCTCACGCTTCTTTTTGACATTTAGTTCATCCACCTTAGTGTTTTCATACATAGACATAGATTTGAGCATTCAGCATAGTCGTAACTACTAAGGAGCTCATATAGATATAGACATATAGATGTAGACCTGCTACTCAATCTCTAGAGCTTTTTGAGAAAGAGAAGTTTAATATTATATCATGACTCAACTAGAGTCAAGATGATAATAAAACAACAGCTTCAATTTATCTATTTAACTAAGCAGCTGTGATGAGAATACTAAACTGAGAATTAGAATAAAGAATGAACAAGCAGCTGAATATATAGAAGTGGTTTATAAGGGGCTGAACCCCTAGATTCGCTCTGGCTAACTGACTCAGCCTAGCCATCGTTTGCACGTGCGCACGTGATCATGCTATAAGAGCTTGCTTAAGCTCATGTTCTCATCTCATTCTTTTCTTCTCTTTCCCAAGCAATTTGTCCTTGTTATATAGGAGGACTAGTCTCTAGTTCTTAGAGCTTAATCCTCTACATTACAAATTGCTTCACTCCTTTCATTGATAGGCCACTGGGAGTCTTAATTCTATATTATGAAGCTTAGCAAATGTGCTGATATATGACAGACTATTGAAAGCTTTAAATTCTGCATCATGAAGTTCAGTGATAGCACTGGTATATGAATAGACTGGGTTAGCAATTGTGCTAACAAATGAATGAGCAATATTGAAAATGTCTAGCTGAATGAGATAAAGCAGCAGACTTGTACAATGAATACACAAATGAATTAACATAAAGCAATGAGCAGGGACACCCTCAGCAGCTTTGAACAACAATGAATGGCCTTTCTTCAACAGCAGGAACAGGTCCAGCATGAGAACAGAGATTTAATAGCAGCTCAGCAAGCTGAAATAGCTAATCTATAATAAGCTTTGAACATCTTAACATTAATCCTCTCTCAATTGAACTCACAATCACTTATTGCAGTCAGAAGACAAAAGATCAAGCTACTGGACTGTGAGAAGTATGATGATTCTAATCTGAAGCACTACCCTCAGTGAGAGCTAAAGCTTCAATCAAAACTTAAGATTGATGGGAAAGCTTTAGGTAATAATGAGAAATGTGCTTGGTATGTGTACTTGAGATTGAAAGAAATAGCAGCAGCTCAAGTTTACCTCTGAGTTGAGAATAATAAGAACAAGATCAACTTCACAGTAGAGAGTTTATTGAAGTAGACACACATACTCTTTAGTGATTCTTCATGACAGGAAAAGGCTATGCAAAAGCTCAACAATCTACAACAGAGTAGAAGTGCTCTCTTTGACTTTCTGTCTGAATTTAATCAGCTACTGCTGGAAGCTGGTGGTCATGAATGAGATGATCATATTAAAAAGAGGTATTTGAAATCCGCTCTAAGCATGGAGCTGAGGGAAGGCATGGTGGGTATAAGAGAATCATCTCTGTATGAGAATTACTGCAGATAGCTTAGATTAGTTGATCATCAACTCTCTGAGCTTAAGACTTTAAGGCAGTAGTCTAAACATTGTGAGGGCAGATCTTCTTCAGATCATACAACATCTAATTTATACTCTTCACTTTGTCATGTTGTTCTTGATCAATGAAATCAATCTCAAGCTTCTACTGATGATTTGATGAATCTCTCTTCTGGTGCTGTGACCCCAAGCACCCACTACATCAAATTGATAAATCAGACAGAGATTAATCAATGAAGAGAGCAAGGCTTGTGCCTGAGATGCAGAGCCAGAGGTCATATGATTAAGAGCTGCTGATTCAAATCTCTCAGACACCCTGTCACCTCTATAATAGCTAAGGTGATCCCCAAGCTAGTACTGGACAATGATAATGTGGATATGAATGAGGATTCAGGAAAAGAGTAGCTTCAACTCAAAGACACTGAAAGAAGCAAAATAAAAAGCTTATGAAAAAGCAATGAAGAAGATTTAAATCTAAGATGATATTCAAACCCTTCACTGTCAATGCTCTAGTAGATAATACCTTTTCAACTAGAGCAATGATAGACAGTGAATGTAATATCTATGATCTTATTTCTCAATTCTACATTAATAAGCATAAGCTTCTATGTATTGAAATTCCTCCTATTAAAATGATCAGCTTTGAAGACTCCATAAGACTCTCTATGAGCATGATGACTGGCATTCAAATTGATATAGGTGATCACATAACTGAACAGGCCTTTCTCTACATAGTGAATGAGTTACATGATCATGATATATATTTAGATAACCCCTAGCTGGCCCAGCAAAAGGTGATCGTGATCCCTCATTAAAGAATTGTGAGATTTGAAGAGAGTGGCATAGAGGTAGAGCCTAGTTCAAATGCAAAAGCTGATGTGATTTCCATTTCTGCTATAAGCTTCTCTAGACTTGTGAGCACTTGAGAGAAGTGAAACATCAAGATCTTTGCTGTCAGTTTGACTGATATTCAAAAGACTCTAGAAGTGAAACCAAAGATTGACCCTAGAGAAAAGCTACCTGAACATTATCATGAGTTTTTGGATATATTTGATAAGGAAGCTGCTAATGCTCTACCCTCACTTTGTGGCCCAGGTAGAGATCATGGGATTGAACTGATTAAAAAGACTGATGGTAGCATGGAACAACCCCTTTGGGGCCTACTATATAATATATCTTGAGAGGAACTACTGGCTTTGTGAAAGACTCTTACAGATTATGTAGATAAGAGTTTTATTAGAGTGAGCAACTCTCCCACAGCTGCTCCTATACTATTTGCAAAGAAGCTTGAGGGTGGGTTAAGATTCTGTGTAAACTATCAAGCTCTTAACAAAATTATCTGAAAAGATTGATATCCTCTA